GAGAATCGAGGAGAAGGGATTGTGGCGTGGCCATCCCCCCTGGGGGGTGATTTCTCACTTTCTGTCTCTCTGTCTCTATCTGTCTGTCTGGCGCGCGAACGCACGCACCCTATAGCAAAAACAGAAAGAAAGAAAGAAAGAAAGAAAGAAAGAAAGAAAGAAAGAAAGAAAGAAAGAAAAGAAAATTGCATGGTAAGATGACAAGCGCGCTTGCCAGTAGGTGTTTGGGTGCGTAAGGTGCCTGACTCCCATGGGCTACTTCCTGCCCTGGACTCAGAAGCCTGAAAAACACCTGGGTTGAGTGTGTTTGCCCAAAGTCCTGTGAGGAGAATGGAGGGAAGGGACCGTGGTGTGGCCATCCCCCGGGAGGGTGATTTCTCACTCCCCTCTTTCTCATAGCACACGCCCTATAGCAAACAAACAAACAAAAAAAACCAAAAAGCAGGGTCCACTGGTGACGTGGTGGTTGGGATGCTCTACTCCCACATGGCCAATTGCGGTTCGAGTCCCGAACCTGTCAACTTACTTTCTTACTTTCCCTTTCTCCCTCTGGTCAAATTAAAATAAGAATAAGGATAATGATGATAATAAATAAATTAAATGAAATAATTCTTTTAAAAAAACAAACAAGCAGGAACCAAACAACTACATTCCATCCCCTGGTTCTCCTCTGGGGTTCTACAAAGATTAGATGTCATTACATATTATAAGAGAGGAGATGATATTGACTTATGAAAGCCCATCTGAATGTCCAGGAAGGAATTTCTTGGAAATGTAATTGTCTCAGGCAACTGAATGTGCTTTAATTAATCAACCTAGGCTTCTAGAATTTTCTGGGGCTTGCATGTTGAATGTACTCACTGGCCCATGATCAGTGTGGGCAGGAGGGAGGAGAAATAATTTGGAAACCAGAATTGACTCGCCATTAATTTTTTCTAAATCCTTCTTCCTTAATTATTTTTTTAGAGGTTTTTGCTATAGGGCGCGTGCGCTCGCCAGACAGAGAGAGAAAGAGAGATAGAAAGTGAGAAATTACCCCCCCCCAGGGGGGATGACCATGTCACAATCCTTTCTCCATTCTCCTCTCGGGATCTTGGGCACGCACGCACACATGCCAGGCATGATTTTAAGCCACGGGTCTGGGACTCAAACCGTGGTTGACTACGTGGGAATCCAGCGACACAGTCATTACGCTAACTGCTGGTCCCCCTTAATTATTTTTTAAGAGAGATTTTTGCTATAGCATGTGCACTCACTAGTGAGCCAGAGAGAGACAGACCAAAAGCGAGAAATCACCCCCTGGGATAGCCATGCCACAATCCCTTCTCCTCCGTTCTGCTCTCGGGAGTTTGCTCACACACTCACAGGTACCCGGTGTGAGTTTCAAGCCACCAGGTCCAAGACTCAAACCGTGATGGATCATGTGGGAGTCCGGCAACGGAACTGTTATGTCATCTGCCGGTCCCAATTTTCAAGAGTTATAAAAGGCACAATTTGTTTGTTGCAGTTAACATTTTGCTTGAAGGAGGTGATCTTAGTCATCCAAATCGAAATGCTCTTGCTTTAATCTCGAAGGCAACTCACTGCTAGGGAGGGGGAGAAAGTGTGGGGCAGGTTGTCTCTGACCCTGAGGGGAGGGTGGCACGAGGGTGCCCCGCACCACTGCAGGTGTCACTGGGCCGTGTCTAATACGGGTGTACAGGCACACATACGGGAGGAAGAAAAGGGATTAAGGAATCGAGAGGAGACAGGAGCGAAGAGGCGAAAGCCCTGTCATCCGCCGGCCGCACAGTTCAGCTTGAGCTGCTTCGAGGCCAGCGTCTATGGGTACCTTGTTGCGAAGGTGACCGAAGTCCAGCGAAAAGGACGTGGCGCTGTCCCGCCGCTTCACCACGTAGCACAGGTAGGTCTCATGCCGGCCCTTAGCCCAGCGGACGTTTTTGAAGTGGTAAATAAACTTCTTTTTATTCAG